CATTGGGAATGTAAACTTTGCAAAGCGCAAACAAAGCTAGGAACGCAAGCCGACCGAAACAGGATCTAGATCTCCACATACCAGCGACCCAATGACAGCCACCAGCGCTGATAGAGCAACGAGGTAACGGGAAGTCGCTTTGGTAAAAAGAGTGGCTTCAGCGCGAGCTGACGATCCAGCCGGAGTTGGGGCTGGGTAAGGGTTTGACGGTCAGTTTTGGGGACTGGTGCCACGCCGCGGCAACCTGAGTAGATGAGAGTTGACTTCTAAAACTACGTCTCGAGTGTCGCACGTTGAAGCCTAAACCAAGAGAGAGTGGGCCGACAAAACCACACAGACCGGCAGCCCCCCCCCCCCCCCCCAGCCTCAGCGTGACCAGCGACCAGTCCAAAAGCGCGTACAGTTCGCAACTATTCTGCTCCAGCCACCGAAAACGGAACCATTCCTAGGTCATCGATTTTTCAGTTCAAATGGCCGTGCACAAAGTCAGCCAATTATAAACCCATGGCATTTGCAAATGGGCGCGTGAACTTCAAGTATCAGAGAACATGAGCCTGTTTAACTCATGGAAATGTTTCAGCGCATTGATGAGATCAAATTATGCGCATACGAGGTTCCTCACAGGCGAGTGCCTCAATTCGTTCGTGCTGTTTCCTAATTGCACATGCTGGTGGCACCGAAAGCACTCTGGCATGTTATTGTCACCCTCATGGCACGCTGCTAAAGGTGTCTACACATACACACACACACGCGCACACACACACACACACACACACACACACACACACACACACACACACACACACACACACACACACACACACACACACACACACACACACACACACACATACACACACACACACACACACATATATATATATATATATATATATATATATATATATATATATATATATATATATATATGTGTGTATGCATTTTTATATACATGCAATTTGTGGAACGCATTTAGACATCTATCTGTATAAAATGTGAAAGCCTCACGAGATGTTTTTTTTCGTGTCTCCTTGACAGAAGGCGTGGTGACAGAAGGCGTCCATATTGAAGGCCTTCGCCATGCAGGGTAAGGAACAGATGGTGAAAGACTGCTTAGGAAATGTAGCTTTGACTGTAGCATATCAATAATGTCAGCACGCGGCTGAGATAGGTACCAGGGGTAACTTCAACGCAGGACATCACTCGCATCTTTGCTCATATTGCAGCCTGGTATCGGCTGTACAGGCGTGAGCCGCGCTGCTGGCACCACAGCTTACAGGTCTCTAAGCTGCATGTGTGCTCCCTAACTCTGTTAAGTTCATCAAGATCTTGGCAGTTTAGATGTCCTAAGAAGAAACTCATGCTTCTCTGGAGGTCTCTAATCGGATTTTGCTGGTGCAGGTGAGGGGTTCAGTTCTTCATCAGGGTCTCAGCGTTGGGTAGCAGCTAGGTTGAACACCCTGTCTCGCTATTCATGTTCTTTTCTCTTTCACCTGTCCCCCCCCCCCTCTTACTCTCTTTCACCTCCTCGACATCCTTACCCATGTTTTGCATTTCCTGGGAGCTTCTTGAGCACTGGATAAACTGTCCGCACCTTTAGGACTGGACAGGATTGCACTAGGACTGCAATCAAGTCTCAAGGAATAGGACAAAGCTTGAACTATCCGTACAATCCCACATTAAGCGCTTTCATGGACATTGGGTCATTCAGGTTCTCAACAAGCCATGCCACTTAAAACTGCACCGTTTAATCAGCAGCTCACTTCAACACTGCCTCTCAGCTGCGCCTTCTCCCGTGTCTGAGGGTGAACATTGCGTGAAGGAGCAGTCTCTTTAACATAATACCATCTGAATGATGACTGCGGCAAAGACCAAGAAGCGGTATGCATGCTGAGATCAAATGGCGAAAACGCCCTACTTTGTTTGGTCCGGGGGCGGGTCTCGAGCACTGCCAGAGATCGGCCACAGCCCGGAGCCTGAGATGGTCTCGAGCGCTGCCAGAGATCGGCCGCTGTCCGGAGCCTGAGATGGTCTCGGTGTGAGCGAGACCTGCCCGCTCCGGCACTCGGCCTACACACGGCCCCCTGTTAGCAGCGGCTGTTCGGCGCGTGCCGCCAGCACTAAAACGCAGACGCACATTCACATGCGTCCTTGGCCCAGAGGTCGCCCGGGGGTTAAAGGTGGCCCTTCACTCCTGACATAACGCGAGTAGCTCCAGAATGTCGGTGAAGGGTCGCACGATCCCATGTTTCCTGCGGCCAGCAAGCCGAAACACGCCATTTTGAAACGCGCTTCATGCGATGCCGGCCCCGTGTAACGCTGCCACGCATGATTATAATGCCGCTTTCGACAAATTGCTGGGAAAACAGGGAGCCCATCCAGATTCTGGCGATGAAAAAATGCGAATCCTATTAACCCACATGCCGCCGGCTGGGAGCCTGCGTGCTGCTCTGGCGCTGGTTTGCTGCGATGCCGCGAAGGACTCCGACGCAGGCTGGTCTGATGACCTAAAGACAAGCGCAAATCTAACGTGGCTCCCAGATGGCATCCCGTCGCAAGAAGCGACCGATCAGGAACGCAGGGCGCTGGCTGCACAAAGTCCCATTTTCCATGGATTCACAGGGATCCCTATCCTGCCAAAGGCCTTAAACTTGGGCTTCATGCTTCGCATGGTGTTTCTGTAGCGATGACCACTTTTGGTGTCGAAATGAATATGATATTAAGCGTGTGCTATACAAAGGAGTCTATCTCAGTGACAAATTTAAGGAAGCTTTCAGTTAGCCATTTTCCATAAGCTCTCACAATTTTGCTAGAGCTGAGCTGGAGCATGCGTCAATATTTATGGTTAACGGTGTAGCATTAAACGTCGTGGAGAACAGTCAAACGGGTCCCAACTCATAACGCATCATATGTTTTGGAGTCAACGTATACGTAAACCTGGGGGGGGACTTGATCTGGGGGTAGCCAAAATGTAATGGATCTTGAAAAAAAGAAGTTGATTCAGACCTGACACGTGAACTAGAACAAAGTACCTCAAACAGTTTTACATGGACACTCAGTTCACCGTCCCTCTACCATCTACTTTCATTTTTCGGCAGCGAATCAGGCATGGCAGTGACAGAGAGTCTTACCAGTCGTTCAGCCACCGACAGTGTCAAAGTCAGATGAAATACGTTGCGTTTTGCCGGGATCCCTTTTGGTCGATGGGTCCCCCGGCGGCCGGCGGGCCGTCCCCAGCTATCAGTCAGGCTTGGCCTGACACCCCTCGGTAAGACCTCGACTCGCAACTGCCTGGCTTCCAGAAGGCTTAATAGCTGATCGTAAAGATCGATTGCAAACCCTCTGAAATGAAATTACGCATGCCAGCAGACGCTGCGTCGGCCGCCAACGGCTAATCTGATTTTAGCCGATCCGGGCGATCCGGGGGCTCCAGGGGGCGCTTCGAGCGGCGGTGTCTGGCTGGAAGGCGCCGCGGAATGCGGCGGACTCGGCGACGTTCCTCAGAAGGCCTCTCGCTGGCGGCCTTCCCACCCGCCGCTCACTTTCATTGCCAGTAGCCGGCCGGCGTCCGCTGCTGCCCCCGCAGCGTGCGAGCTGCTCCCGGCCGCAGCGGCAGCCCAGCGTCGGCACCAACAGCAGGTCACGGTCACCAGAGCACCGGGCCGATGGAGGGCTGCTGCCGGCCAATTACCGGAGCGGGGGAGGGGGGGGGGGGGACGACGGCTCGGTCACCGGCAGCCGGCCGGGGTCTGGTGCGCAGGATAGGATCGGAGCTCAATAAGAGGTGCCGGAGTGAGCCGGAACAATCGTGGACCATGGAAACCGGGGTACCCCTCCTGAACATTGGACGCCTTTTATACAATACTGAGCGAAAGTCTTGTAGAGACGGCTGTCATCTTGTAGAGACGGCTCAGAGTCAGAGCTGAGGGCTGACATCTTCAGGTGTTTGCAATCTATTTGAATGCGTTCGAAACTTGCGATTCCTTAAATCGTAAACTCGAGGATTGAAGCCCTAAAGGTCTGGCCTCGAATCCTAGAAATCACGCCGAATCTTGAGACCCTGCAATGAAAGATGCAATAAATTCCAATGAAAGATTCCAATGTAATCGCATCTTTTATTACCAAATCCAAATTCGATGCCGAATCAAAATCCGCTTACCCTAGGATTGAAATGCAAAGAAATTCTGCAAATCTAATCGATGCCATTGTCAAGCAGAAACGTAGAGAAGGCCCTACCTGGCTTTACCAGCTAGTTGGACCAATTCCAGCTGAACGGGTAACTGCCAACACGCTGTGTTCCGTTACGCAGTGGCACGACCCGTCCGCCGCCGCTTAAGCCTACCCCACCACCCCGTTGTCAACTGACTTCTAGTGACGGAGCCCACCAGCGCGCTCTTCGGGACACGGTGCCTCATGACAGAGGTACAATAACCGTTAGCGACGAGCCCACTGGCGCACCCCTGGGACGCGGTGCCGCATGACAGAGGTACCCTGACTGTTAGTGACGGGCCCACTGGCGCGCTCTTCGGGACACGGTGCCTCATGACAGAGGTACACTGACCGCCAGTGACGGGCCCACCAGCGCGCATCTTGGGACACGATGCCACATGTCAGGGGCACACTGACCTGTCAGTGTCTGGCGCTCCGCCAGGTGATCTACAGGGCTACAGCTTTGGTTGCAACTTGATTGGTCGGAGCAGGATGCTACGTACCGTCGTTTGGGATGCGACGGCGGAGCGGTTCGGGTCTCCCCGCCTGCGTCGGTGCTCTGCGCCCGGCTCCAGGCCGAGGTCGCGGCCGGCGCTGGTGCTGTGTTTCACTCCAGGCGTCGGAGTTCCGGCGCCGCGCTCCGCTCCGGCGAGCCCGGGGCGCTCGCGGCCGCGGGCCGAGCCCGCCAGCGCGGGCGGGGCGGCCGGCCCGCCGCCCGCCCTTGGCGGCGGCCGGTCTGCCGGGAGAGGCCGGTCCACCACTGCCGGCTCAGTCTGCGGCAGCGGCCCAGCGCGAGTGGCACGCCCGTGGCAAGCCCGAGAGCCCGAGAGCACGGCAGGTCAGCCGAGGCCGCGGCCGGCGCCCGGACGACGCGAGTAACGTCACGGCAACGCCAACGGAGGGGTGACGCCGGGAGGAGAGACGTGTTCGGCGCGTGACGATCGCTAGCATGCGGCCCGCCCGGCTCCTGCTGGCCCTGGCCTGTGGTGTGTACGGGTACGCCCCAGTGGAGGATGGATTTGACGGGCCCGCGGAGAGCCGAGAGAAGCGGCAGGCACTGCTGCCGCCAACCACTGGTGAGTGCGGGAGGTTACAGGTCAGGCCGCACGGGTCAGCATCAGCTCAGACACGTGACCCTCGGCTGATGCCAGCGTCTAGTCTGACCGATGTGACCCCAGCGCAGGCTGGGATCATATCGGTCAGACTAGACGCTGGCGCAAACCCAGATCCAGACCAGACGCATGTTGACCGGCGGTAAAGGCTGACGGAAGTCCAGTGGGTTTGTTTTATTTTTCTTCTTTGCATCGTTTTGTTTGGATTGGAGCCATTTTGGCCGGCGACCATTCCAGGGCTATCGGATGAAGCAGGGTGGAGCGAGACTACGTGGATTTGGAAGTTTTCCGCTGCCGAGACTCGCCTTGCGCAGGGATCTCTCTTGAGGGTTTCGCGCGGGAGCTTAAACCAGGGAAGCGCTTTAGTCCGTCCATATCCGATGCACGTGCGCTCGGTTGGGGCTCCCACCGGGAGTCACTTGATGGGTTATGGAGAAACCGACCTACGTCACCGGCCCCGGCCTTTGCTACAAAACACTGATGAAGATTCACAACCTTGGCCACCATGATCTCAGGCTGCAGCGCCCTTTTGGATGTCACGTACGATTTGACTGTTCGATTTTCAACGATTTGCCTTTTCTGTTAATATGTTGGCAAACGCATCGGGTTGAATATGATTGATTGATTAAATGATGATCAATTGGACACGTTTTAAGCAGTTTTGAACACCAAAGCTTTCAAAGGCGCACCGAGCGACTCTTAACTAACCAACTGATGGCATCTGCCATCGACCTGGACTGCCAGCATGCTCTTTCAGCCAATCTTTATTCCTCGCATCTCACTTGATATCCTCAGCCTACCACCCCTTTCCTAACGTAAGACACGTATGCTCATGTCACCACGTGTGCATTAAAAGTCGCCGACATTGTGGACATACGAGTTAATCAATGCAATACCAGCAAGATATGTTGTGCTGCGCGAGATGAGCGAAGTGATAATAGATGTGAAAGCATGTAGATATTACCAAAACAAAGGAAACGGCCCCAGACACCTTTGGGAGTTCATTTAGGTGAGTAGGCCTGATGCACCTCGATGCCCATTTTTAACGCGTGGATATTAGCTGAGGTGGATTCTATGAGAGAGTTAGCCACATCGAATACGGCATTAGCTTTGTTCTTTTCAATGGGAAAGTCAGCAATCTATCGCAAAGACGTTGGGAAATTCCGTCTGAAATGCACACCGCTGGGGCCTAAGTCTCGCAACTTCGAGCGAGGGAATGCATGCTATTGTGTGGCCGAAAAACCGCCACAAATGCGTGCAAAAATACCTGTTTCATGAATTATTGGTTTCGTGACACAACCATATTCTGCGATTGCTGTGTATTCAGTTAAATAGAAGAATTGTCATCAGTTGAAATTACACACAAAAAAACACTCTTGAGCTCAAGACCTGCTCTGGTCAAAAATTACGAATCCCTCCCTCTTGTGGCGCTGGAATAAGACGCATTCGCTGGAAAAACAAAGCTTATTCTCTACGATAGCTGTAAGCATCAAACCGTCCGCTTCCACGCAATTCCACTAAATTCATAAGACTGAGAACAACTTATGGGACCTTTTTTGGATGCCTTCATTACCGTAAAATTATGCTTTTGCTGGCACGACCATTGTCGAACGAAGCGTGAAAGAGCTTGGTTTGTTATCGCTGGGAACAGTCAACAGATTTTCTAGCAAAACGCCAAAAAGATATTAAAATTTGCTCCTTTCCCGTAATCTGAAAGGGAAAACACACCAGCTGCTCAGCCAAGTATGCTAAGATGAGCCAAATGGGAAGGCTCCATCCAACTGAGAAGGCTCCATCCAACCTTGATCATTACTGAATAGAAAGTTTGAAACAATCCGATCATTATGAAAAGAAGAGCAGATAAATCAGATTCGGTGTGCTTGAGAAGGCACGTTGTCCAACCTACGGTGACAACGCGCACAGGATAATGAGGAAGCGGGAGGGGGCAGCCACCCGGCGCTGGTGAGTGCAAAGAAACGGGGAAAATAACTTGTCCCCCTCTCATCTCCACAGAGGCTCCGCCGCCACTGGACACACATTCCCAGCTTCAGAATGACTGATGAAATGGCATGTTCTTTATCGATTGGTAAGGGTTACGACTTTATGCGGCACAGGTGCCCTCGAATATTGCGGTTTGTTTCATAGTCCCGACACCTTTGAGGATTAAGTTACGATTAAAGCAAACTTTAGAGAGGCGGACTTTATACAAAGTTAGCCTATAAGATGAAAAGGTTTTGATATGGTGGTGACAAGAAGCATCACTCGCAGCGCACCCGCACAGTGTCGATGTCTTTTATGTGTCCTTGGTTATTGGTTTCACTAATAAACTTAATGTCACTTTTTAGCTGCCACCTGGCAGTAGTTTAAGCATACCAATATAGTCTAATGGAAATACGCATCCCTTGAAACAAGTTATTCACGCGAACAGGCGATCGACGGTGTTCGTGAATTTGTCATCTTCGTGATTGGCTGTCTTGACATGATTAACGAACCTTTTCATATTACCTAACTATCCTAACACCATTTCAGTAAAAGTTTTACAAACCGTCATGTATTTCACTCGTTGTCTCATTGATGGCATTGATGCATGTAGAATTTCGCAATGGGGCTAGGCAAAGCTCAAAATTGCTCATGAAAACCTGGCGCAGCTCTTGCGCGGCTTAAAACATCATCACTTGTCCTCGATGTGGAGAGTGTGACGTGTCTATCTCAAATGTTTCATCGTGAACACTCATCGCGCATGCGGGGATGCGCATGATAACTTTGATAAGGGGAGGGAGACACAAGCTCTCCGAGTCACTGGACGAGCACGCCCCACATCAGAGGTGGCCAGAAAAAGCCTTGCTAATCGCGAATAAATCGCAAATAAAGTGGCACATAATGGAGCGCGTTCATTATCGAGTAATCCCCCATTATCTTCACGCTAAAGACCAATCGGCTCACATCGAGCGTCGATGGCGTTGGTCAATGGCGTCCACGTCACGCCCGCTGGCTGTGCGTGACCTCTCGTCGGGAGGTCAGGTCCCGCGCAGTGTCGCACTCACAGCTCAGACGCCGCCGACTCGGCACGTGGAGAGGTCTCCGCGCGCTGGCCTTTCACCCGGAGTGACCGAGCTGATCTAAGGAATCCCGGCGTGGTGGCGTTATTTTTCGAATGGGATTAGCGCCACCGAAGTTGCACTCCGTAAACTATCAACTGACATTGATCGCGTGGACACGAGTCAAAGTGCAGCAGGGCGTACACAACCGAAGTTATCATATCTTAACACAGGCACACTTTCTCCAGACCTTTACATAGCTGTTTTAGGGTTTGCATGCATGCTGGGTAAGGTATGTTCTTGTATGCTGAGCTGTTTGAGCTCAGCCTCTGTAAGTCTATTGTCATTTCAACGGCAGACGGTCAATCATGAAACCAACTGTCCGCTAACTGGACCAGCTGGGCTGCCATAAATCAGGCTATACGTCCGCTGCATGGCTGCGCCACAGCTAGTCTAGGCCTGAAGCGACGCATTGCGAACGGAACGCGCAGAGGGCAAGCCGCCCTGGCGTAAAAAAAAAAATACATCGGTGTGCTTTCATTCTGAGCCGTTTCCTGTGAGTTTCGGTCAAAAGTTATTTGGGTTCTGCTCCCTGCCGAGCTCCGCCTAAACTGTAGACATCTCCATTACGAACATATACCTTTCTACACAAACCTCTCCATGCGAACGGTATGGAGAGATTTGCGCCTCGAGTCATTGACGTTTTGAATAGAGCGAACCGAAAGTTGACATTCTGGATCATCTCCCATATTTGGCGACATATCCCTTGATAAACCATCCTGTTCCTTACATAAACTATCTGTGATTCACCCACGTAGTGTTACCGAAGTATATGCACAGTTTTGTATCTAGTCAATTTATATGTATATATATATATATATATATATATATATATATATATATATATATATATATATATATATATATCATCCAGTCAGCCAGCGCTGCGCCCTGACAGCAGATAAGTCAGCCAGCGCTGCGCCCTGACAGCAGATAAGTCAGCCAGCGCTGCGCCCTGACAGCAGATAAGTCAGCCAGCGCTGCGCCCTGACAGCAGATAAGTCAGCCAGCGCTGCGCCCTGACAGTAGATAAGTCAGCCAGCGCTGCGCCCTGACAGCAGATAAGTCAGCCAGCGCTGCGCCCTGACAGCAGATAAGTCAGCCAGCACTGCGCCCTGACAGCAGATAAGTCAGCCAGCGCTGCGCCCTGACAGCAGATAAGTCAGCCAGCACTGCGCCCTGACAGCAGATAAGTCAGCCAGCGCTGCGCCCTGACAGCAGATAAGTCAGCCAGCACTGCGCCCTGACAGCAGATAAGTCAGCCAGCGCTGCGCCCTGACAGCAGATAAGTCAGCCAGCGCTGCGCCCTGACAGCAGATAAGTCAGCCAGCGCTGCGCCCTGACAGCAGATAAGTCAGCCGCTTTCGGGAGCGCCTCCAGGAACAGAACAAATGAGAGTACGTTTAAAAACTGGCCTTGGCTCAATGTCGCAAGCAAATATCAACTTGTGGTCAGAGCTCTTCAGCACATCAGAAGATACGTTGTGATCGACGCAAAACACCACACCACAGACCCATTTTGTTGTCCTGCTATCTGACATCACGTTTTACTGCTGCTTGATCTGCTTCTTTCTACTCACTACTCACTCACTTCCTACTCACGCCTTCATGTCTGTGCACACCGTAAGTGTGACCCTAGGCCAAGGTCTAGCTTTCACGGCCTCTTGTTTTTGTGCGCCCAATGGTCGATTTAGATAAGTCTGTCTGCAAGTGCTCCTTTCCGTGGCTTGTTTCTCTGCCACACGCCCTGAGCCGAACTGTTGCTGACGGACCACAGGACGCGTGATGTGGAGTGACCCTGAGGGCATGCTCTGAGCCGAACTGTTGCTGACGGACCACAGGACGTGTGTTGTGGAGTGACCCTGAG